AACATCAATCTTTGGTGAAGACTCAATGTACTAGTATAAACCTACAGTACAGTTGTGTTCCTTATAGCTCATCTTATTCTTTTAAGAAATCTAATTTAAAATACATATTGTCAAGAGCCCAAACTGGATGCATCAAATATCTATACAGCTTTTTCTCTTCTGGAAACTGATGTTGCAAGATGGAAAATGCAACTTTGCAAAAGGTGTTTAAATTCCTTTTCAGTAAAACTTGTTAGTCATTTGACAGATTTAACATTAATTATGCTTTCTACCACTTTATCCAGAATTAGTTTTTATGCCTATTTCTTCAGAAGTAAATTCTAGCACATTCTACCGTGTTTCCCCGAAAATAGGACCTGTCCCGAAAATAAGGCCAAGCCTGATTTTTGGGGTGGGTGTAAATACGACCCTAAAATGTCCCAAAAATAAGGCCTAGTGATGGGGTGGGCATGGCCAGCACAGGAGGCAGCCCTTCCCTTCCCCAGTCACGTCAGGGCTTCTTGGCCCCTTAATCGGATCAGACCGCTATTCACAGCTGATTCACGGGTGCCGCTCAGGCCGCCGCCTACAACAAGCACAGTTGCTTTTGCAGCCAATTGTGGCTGCAAAAGAAGCCAGAGGCCAAGTGACACACCCCACACACCTTGCACCCTCCTTACTTAATGGTGACAGGCACAGCAGGCAATTCCATCCACGGAACAGTTGCCTCATAGGTGCTGCTCCGGCTGGCACCTCCAGCAAGCGTGGCCATTTTTGCCATGGATTGCGGCTACTTCTGCAGCAGGAGGCCAAGCAATGCGCCCCATGTGCCACACGCCGGCCTTCCGAATGTACTGTAGCAGCAGCTATCCACAATTTTTTTACCCTTATTTTGTCCTGAAGTACTGGGCCACGTGGGTCAGGGTGAAATAAGGGTTAAAAAAATGTGGGTAGCTGCTGCTATGATACCCTTTGGAAGGCCAGCGCGAGGCACGAGTCTCCTGCTGCAGAAGTGGCTGCACCCGAGGAGCGCTTTTGGGAGAGAAGGCAAAGGGGAAGTGATTGCTTGCAAACTCCCGCCCTGCTCCCACCTCTCTGCTGGGTGATTCCTGGCAGCCCCAGACACCCAAAGCCTGCCCCCACCAGACTCCCTTTTCCAGTGCCCAGCCCTTTATCGAGGGGAGTGGCAGGTGGGGTGGGGGAGAAGTGAGATGCATGGAGCAAGACACGGCTTGGTCCTCTTGCTGTCTCTTCTCCCCCTCTTGACGGGCATGGCAGCGCTTCCTGCCTTTGCCCAATTTGGATGCAATTTGGGGGTGGCAGGTGGGGAGGGGTGGGGCTGGGGAGACATGAGATGTGTCTTACCAGCCTTGTAGCTCCATTGTATGTCTCACAATTGTCTGCAGGCAAACATGTTGTAGGGTTAAAAAAAACCTCGCAAGTTCAATCAAACTTCTTAAACTTATTAGAAGTTTGGTTTTACCCTACAACGTGTTTGCCTGTAGACAACGGCGAGACACGCAACAGAACTGCAACACAGGTAAGACATGTGTCTCGCGTTTCCCTGGCCCCTGGTGAGGGGGGGGGAGAAGAGACGGCAAGAGGAGCAAGCCCCATCTCACTCCACGCATCTTGCTTCTCCCTCACCCCACATGCCACCCCCCTCAATAAAGAGCCAGGTGCTGTGGAAATGGGAGCTGGGCGGGCGCAGGTTTTGGACATCTGGGGCTGCCAGGGTTTGCCTGGCGGAGAGGCGGGAGTGGGGTGGAAGTTTGCAGGTGAGGGGGATGGATGGGTGGATGGATGGATGGGAGGTGGGTGGGCGAGTGCCAAGAACGCCGGGGAAATTCCCACCTTTGGTTGCCCCAGCGAACAGCCGATGATCGGCTGTGTTGCGCTGCCACAGCAGTGCAACATAGCAGGAGCTATGAGGCGGCCACTCTCGCCGCCTCCTGCACCCCCAAAATAATTAGACAACCCCCCCCCCCGATAATAAGGCCAAGCCCTTATTTCGTGGTTCAATAAAATATACGACAGGGTCTTATTTTCAGGGAAACACAGTATACATGTAACAATACTTTCTTCTTAGCAATTCTTTCTATACGATATTTCAGGTTAAACAATAAGGAGGAATTAAACAATTCCTCCATGATTTTTTATTCATCATCTTCCTACCTAGTTAATATGTATGTTAAAAATCAATTCGAAACTTGTGTCATAACACAATTAATTTTAGTACTTTCCAAAGAACTAAACACTAAAACAATTTTTTATTTTAATTGTACCATCTCAACATTCACACATTGCTTTTGGCTTTTCAAAAGTTTTATTTTATTTTCTAATTGATCAGAATTAGTTTTAGAAATTCCATGGCAAAGTATTTCAATTGAGCCATCTTTACAATACTGTTGTATAATGGCAAAAAATATTAGAACAATTCCAGAAACTCTGATCTAAGTCATACATAGAATATTGGAACAAGCAGACATATAACAGAGAGTATTTTCCAGCCATGAAAGTATTCAGTTCAGGACAGTCTAAGTTTACAAAGCCAAAGTATATTTGATTTCTGGCACTCTAGGTAAGAAATTCCATCAGACAACTATCTTCATGACCATTGCCTCTCAGAAGCTTTGAGGACATTTTGTATTCAAAGTCCTAGAAACAGTCAATTTCTAGCTGAAGTAGTCATGGCCTTTATCTTTTCAGGATATTGGTAAATACTATTTTTTATTTTTAATCAAAAGAGCCATGCCAAGTGTTTTATCAAAAATTCAAGCACCATACCAAATAAACCAAAAGTTACACAAAAATGCTTTGTAGTGACACTTCACTAAACTTGTTTCAGTAAACTTTCTGAATTGTTAAAATTACTTGAAGAGGCAGGAACTGCATGAAGTTTAACAACCTCAATCAACAAATGAATTGTAGGTATCTCAATTCCAATTTTACATAGCAATTATTTATTACTTATTGCAAAAGCTACAATATGCATCAGTACCAGATTTCAAAGACAGCAATACAGCTATTATTTTCCAGCTCTGTCAATTAAAAAACAATAACAGAATAACAGAGCTGGAAGGGATCTTGGAGGTCTTCTAGTCTAACCCCCTGCTCAAGCTATACCTATACCATTCCAGACAAGTGGCTGTCCAGTCTCTTCTTAAAAGCCTCCAGTGATGGAGCATCCACAACTTCTGGAGGCAAGCTGTTCCACTGGTTAATTGTTCTCATTGTTAGGAAATTTCTCCCTAGTTCTAGAGAGAACCTAGTTCTAGGTTGTTTCTCTTCTTAGTTTCAATCAATTGTTTTTTTGCCACGCCTTCTGGTGCTTTGAAAAATAAGTTGACCCCCTCTTCTTTGTGGTAACCCCTCAAATATTGGAATACTGCTATCATGTCACCCCTAGTTTAAGAGCATGTTTTTGGTGCTGAACTCTGTATTTCATTTAGTCTCTCTTTTGGGACCCTCTTCATCTTCAGTTCATCCTTAAGTGTACTACTAGGTGTAGAGAGCCTCCAAGTACAAGTTTGCTGAAATAACTGTGGTACTACTATAATATAGCCTTCACTTTCAGATATATTTTTAACATGGATCTCAGTTCCTTAGTACAGAAAGTGCTGCATTCTTGACTGAAATTGTAATGCTTGAGCATTTATCTCAATAAAGCTTGCTTTGAGGGTAGCATGATTGACCAGAGCAGCAACAAGTGCAACTACTACATTTACAATTACTCCATGAGCAGATCACATGCAACCCCCTGTATTAGCCTTCCTGATTCACCTAGTGTCTATTCTGCCTTATCATGGTAACATCTCACCTCTTCTGTTCATTTTAATATTTAATGTTTTAATGTTTTGTACTTTTGCTTTTATGATGCTGTAATCTGCCCAGAATCACTTGACAGTAAGATGGGTGGTAAATAAATTTAATAAATAAATAAATAAGCTATTAGGGTTCACCTATTGAGCATCAGCAAAAAGAATGTTACCAACAGGGACTTAAACAATAGGAAATACTGCACAGTTCATGTTCTGCCACTGTAGAATCTTCAGCAGCATTGCCCTTCCCTTTCTCTTCCCATCAAGATTTGATAAGATCACTCTGATCTCATTTGTAAGGGGACATTTGCCTATAACTATGTTAAGGGTGCTTTTCCATCAACCAGAGGGCCTGGAGTCATTACTGGTATGTATTAAGGTGATGCTCAATCTGGATGATTTAGATCATGTACAGCTATACTTACTGGCACTCTGTTAAATGAAATAAGATTTTTCTTGGGTGCCCACGGACTCCAAGAAAAGATGCAACTTTTTCAAGTGATTGCTGACTGATGCACTATAAGCCAGTCCTACTGGTATAAGCTGTAAGGCATCTTCTCCTCTTCTAATCTAGATTGCTCCAGAACTCTCAGAAATAATAAACCATGACAACCAGTGGTGGGATTCAAATTTTTTTACTACTGATTCTGTGGGTGTGGCTTGTTGGGCATGGCATGGCTTGTTAAGTGTGGCAGGGGAAGGATACTGTAAAATCTCCATTCCCTCCCCACTCCAGGGGAAGGTTACTGCAAAATCCCCATTCCTTCCTGTTACAGACGCGACGTTTCACTACCCGGCAACAAGGAAGCGCTCCCGATTGGCTGAGACTTGACAGCTCAGCCGGCGGGACAATTAAAAGAGATGCCATTGGCTGCTGCTTTTTACCAGCCGGCATATAAATAGCGGCTGTGAGAGAAAGAGGTTTGAGTTGGTTCTGACATTTTGCTGTTGCTGTTAATACGTTAATAAACCGTTCCTGTTAACCGTTGCCTCAGTCTCCCTGCCTGTTCTTTCAAAATAGAACATTGGCGACGAGGATGGGATACTCTCACTGAGCAACGGCATCGCGTATCCTGAACTCAGTTCCCACTGCGGAAGGTAGATATTTCCTGATTCTGAGGAAAAAAAAAAAATTTTTTTTCGTGACAGTTTTCTTCTCTCACGATGGCTAACCCGGCAACATTCGCTCCTTTGTGCTAGCTTCAGAGACATGGGACGCTTACATCGAGCGTTTTGAGTGCTTCCTACAAGCCAATGATTATACTGACTTTTCTAATGACAGGAAGCGAGCCCACTTCTTAAATGCTTGTGGGCCTCAAATCTTTGCTACGGCCAGGGCTCTAGTAGCTCCCCTCTCTGTGTCCACGGTTCCCTGGCCAACCTTGCTGGCGAAACTGAAGGGCCACTACGCACCCGCCCCCTCTCGAATTGCCCGCCGGTTCCTGTTCCGTCAGAGATTGCAGAAGGAGGGGGAATCCCTTAACACATACCTTGCTGCCCTCCGGGAGGAAGCAATTAATTGTGAATTCGAGAACCTTGACGACTCCCTCCTCGAACAATTGGTCTGCGGGGTGCACGACTTGCGGCTGCAGCGCCGCCTCTTAGCCAAAACTGATATCACCTTGCAGTCGGCTGTAGACGAAGCTCGTGCTTTTGAAATGTCGGACAGGTCGGCGGCAGAGATGCGTAGACTTCCAACCGCCCTACCAGCCACCCGCTGTGCCGCTATTCACATCGGGGATGCTTGCCCCGACAACCTTTCTGATGACGAAGACGAGGTGAACCGCCTTAAAGCAGCTGGGGGTAACAAGAGGCCACCGAATAAGAGACTGACTTCTGCGCCCTGCCTCGGCTGTGGGGAAGAACATCCCCGCGTTTTTTGTCGTTTTAAAAATGCTGTCTGCCAACGCTGCGGGAAGAGAGGGCACCTGGCCAAGGTCTGCCGTTCTGTTCCTCAGGACGCTACCACGAGCGCTCCAGCTAACGGCAGACTCGGCAGGAAGGGGTTTCCCCCCTCAAAGGACTATTGTTTTGCCATCTCCCGGGACAGAACAATCCCCTCCGTGTCTGTCAGCCATGCGTCTTCGGGACAGCACAAGAAGATCTTCCTGACTGTCCAGGTTGAAGGAAGGCCGTGCAGAATGGAAGTGGACACCGGGTCCTCCAAATCCATACTCGCCTGGCAGACACTAAAGAAGCTGGTGCCGACCATCTCACCTGAGCAGCTACAGCCTTGCAACACCAGGCTCCATGATTACCAGGGGAATAGTATTCCCATTTTGGGTTGTGGCAATTTCCTAGTTGAGAAAGGAGATTTCTCAGGGTCCCTCCCAGTTCTTGTTGTTAAGGGTAGCCTTCCCAGTTTGTTAGGGTTAGACTGGTTCGAGGCGTGGGGGCTCACCGTCTCGGGCGTCCACACCACCGTCGCTGATGGTTTCGAGGCCCTAACCTCCGAGTTTGCTGAGGTCTTCGATGGCTCTCTGGGTAACTATAAGGGTACCCCCATCTCCCTTAACCTTGACCCTCAGGTGGCACCCATAAGACTCAAGCCCCGACGGGTGCCTTTTGCCCTCCGCCCCAAGGTGGATGCGGAATTAGACAAACTATTGGCCCAGGGAATACTTGAACCCACCGATTATTCCAAATGGGAGACCCCCATTGTCATTCCCACTAAGCAGGACGGGTCTATCCGCATATGCGGTGACTTTAAGTGCACCCTCAACCGTGCTTTGCAGGCACACCCTTATCCAGTCCCAGTAGTCCAACATTTACTACATTCTTTGGGTCATGGTACCATCTTCGCTAAATTAGATATGACCCAGGCATATCAGCAGCTTCCTGTTGATGACGCCACGGCTACCGCTCAGACTATTGTTACCCATAGGGGCGCTTTTAAGTGTCGCCGCCTGCAGTTTGGGGTCTGTGTTGCACCCGGCATTTTTCAAAGCCTTATGGAGCGATTATTACAGGGAATCCCCGGTGTCATCCCTTATTTTGATGACGTTTTAATTTCTGCCAACAACAAACTAGATCTCCTAGAACGCACCCGTCAGGTGCTAATTAGATTCCAACAAAATGGCCTGAAACTCAAGAAGGCCAAATGCAAATTTGGAGTGCCACAAGTTGAATTTTTAGGGTTCCTTGTGGATGGGTCTGGCATCCACCCTACTCCTTCAAAGGTTGAGGCCATTAAGAAGGCCCCGACTCCCACGTGCAAAGCGGAGTTACAGGCTTTCTTGGGCCTGCTTAATTTTTACAGCATCTTCCTTCCACATAAGGCCTCTGTGGCAGAACCCCTTCATCGCTTGTTGGACAGTAAGGCTCCCTGGGTTTGGGAACAACCCCATGCCACAGCCTTCACGGCTGTAAAAAACCTACTCACATCTAATGCTGTGCTAATACAGTACAATGACAACCTCCCCCTCACATTAGTTTGCGATGCCTCTCCATACGGCATTGGTGCTGTATTGAGCCACGTATTGCCAAATGGAACCGAGGCTCCAGTTGCCTATTACTCCAGAACCTTGTCCTCTGCTGAGAGGAATTATGGGCAATTGGATAAAGAGGCGTTGGCGCTCGTGGCCGCGGTAAAGCGGTTTCACGATTACGTCTATGGTCGTTTTTTTCAATTAGTCACTGACCACAAGCCTCTCTTGGGTTTGTTGGCAGGCGATAAACAGACCCCACAAATTATGTCCCCCCGCATGACTCGGTGGTCAGTTTTTCTGGCGGCCTACAATTACCAGCTGGTCTATCGCCCAGGGGCTCATCTGGGGAATGCTGACGGTCTCAGTCGCTGTCCTCTTACCATAGCTGTTGATGACCCTGCTCCTGACCGCTCCGTCTTGTTAATCGATGATTTCCCTGATTTAGTAACAGCATCAGACGTTGCCAAACTGTCAGCTAAAGACCCTACTCTAGTGCAGGTCCTGGATTGGGTTCGTCGGGGCTGGCCACTGGGCCCGGTCCCAGGGGAATTCCAACCTTTTACCACCCGTCAGCATGAACTTTCCATCTCCCGGGGATGTTTATTGTGGGGTAGCAGGGTGGTGATTCCCCCCACACTACGTAGGCCTGTTTTACAGCGTTTGCACGAGAGCCATCCAGGCACCGATAGAATGAAGGCATTGGGCCGCAGTTATGTTTGGTGGCCAAAAATGGACCAGGCCATTTCTGAATGGGTAGCCAAGTGTCAGCGATGCCAGCAGTCCCGACCTGTGCCCCCTGCTGCCACGCCTAGAGAGTGGGAAACGCCCAGGTCCCCCTGGTCCCGGCTCCACATAGACCTGGCTGGACCTTTCATGGGACAGAACTTATTGATTGTGGTTGATGCGTACTCTAAGTGGGTGGAGATAGCTCGCATGGCATCAACCACTTCAGACGCTGTGATTAAGGTCCTCCGCAATTTATTTGCCACCCACGGCTTACCCGATGTGGTGGTATCGGACAACGGGCCCCAATTCACCTCGGCCACGTTTCAATTGTTCCTTGCGGGGTTGGGCATCCGCCATGCCTTGGTGGCACCTTATCATCCGTCCAGTAATGGCCGGGCTGAAAGGGCCGTCCGCTCGGCCAAGGATGCCCTAGCCCGTTTTGGCCCAGGGGACTGGCAGGAAAAGGGGCGCAATATCTCTTGGCGCAACACTCTACCCCTTGCCCGCTGACCAATCGAAGCCCTGCCGAACTCCTTATGGGCAGGCGTTTACGGACCACCTTGGACAGGCTACACCCATGCTTCACGCCTGAGGCCCCCGTAGATTCATCTAGCCGCCCCCGGTCTTTCGGGGTTGGCGATTGTGTGTATGCCAGAAACTATGGGGGCGACCCTCCGTGGCTGCCTGGACGCATCATTCTAATAACAGGACCATGTTCTTACAGAGTCGAGCTCGAGGATGGACGAGCCTGGCGGCGCCATATAGATCAATTAAGGGGTCGTTTTTCCAACCAGACCCCGGAAGATGCGGATCCGACCATGGACCATCCGCCAGAGACGACCTCGCCCCCACCTCCATGGGACGATAAGGCCCACGATGCTTCACCAATAATAGTGCCTCGGCCATCCTGTTTTCCTGATGAACCAGTGTCTCTTCCGACCTCTGAGCCTCCTGTTACTGCATCCGCTCAGTCGCCGGTAGTTCCAATGGCTCAGGGGCTAGCGCAACCTGCAGAGACGTTCTCTGAGAGTCCGAACTAGCCCTGTCCCAGGACAGCGAACTCCGTCGGTCAGGACGAATGCGCAGTCGTCCGTATTTCCTTAAGGATTACGTTTGTGCCATCCAAGGGGGAAGGAGTGTTACAGACGCGACGTTTCACTACCCGGCAACAAGGAAGCGCTCCCGATTGGCTGAGACTTGACAGCTCAGCCGGCGGGACAATTAAAAGAGATGCCATTGGCTGCTGCTTTTTACCAGCCGGCATATAAATAGCGCTGTGAGAGAAAGAGGTTGAGTTGGTTCTGACATTGGTTTCTGACTTATTTGCTGTTGTTAATTACGTTAATAAACCAATAAACCGTTCCTGTTAACCGTTGCCTCAGTCTCCCTGCCTGTTCTCTCAAAATAGAACACTTCCCATCAGCTGGGACTCGGGAGGTAGAGAATAGATGGGGGTGGGATCAGTCAAAGGTGGTATTTACCGGTTCTCTGAACTACTCAAAATTTCTGCTACCAGTTCTCCAGAACTGGTCCGAACCTGCTGAAACCCACCTCTGATGACAACTGAGGAGACATATTTATTCCCAAATATGTTAACAAAGGAAGTGTTGCTTGCAAATATTCAATAATATTTTGTATATCTTTTGTCTTTATTTTCAGGAATTAAACTTCCTAAGTCAAATCTTGAGAACTTCTGACTTAGGAAGTTTAATACCTGAAAACAAAGACAAAAGATTCTAACACAAGCAGAATTCGGTATTGAATTGTGAATTGCATATGTCAAATCATCTGTGCTGGATTTAGGATAGAAAAATGGCCATTAATATAATTCCTTTAATTCTTGTAATTTTGTCTAAAAATGTTCTACTAATGATATTCAAAGCATTAGAAAGAGGAGACAAGAACCCTGTTGGTGCTTCAAGTGAGAAGTTGCCAGGGTGACACTAATAACATAAATCATTGTAGTCCCAAAGATAGGTAATTTCTTAATATATGTTTAAAAGTCAGAATTTTAAAGGGCTGTTCAGAAAGGATCATTAGCCAAAGACAAGAACTATAGCATCATGCGTACTATTTGTGAATAGTCAACTTATCATCTGAACTTTATCTTCTCATCAAGAATCTAGTTAAGCTTAATATGATTTCTATGAAATGTTCTGTAACAGAAGTAAACATGGTTGGCATCTTAATAATCTCTAGGGTATTGCTTAGAACTGAGATGCAAAAGGCCAAAACATTCTGGGTGGTGTGGAAAACTACCGGTATATTTTTTAATTTTTTTCCTGGGCCTTTATATTTTGAAATATAGAAATAATCTTTCTTCAAAATAAAAATAGCATTTTCAGAGTTGATAATATCCTACTGAAGATATCCAGCATAGATACTAGAAATCATACAGTGCAGTTAAAGAGCTCTCTGTTCCATGAGCATTTCCATTTGTAAAACGTTTGGTTACTTTTGGGAATAGTGGCTTTTGTTAGGCTAAAGGAAAGAGTAAATTAGCCTCACGAGATGCTTGTGCTCCAAGGCCAATTTCTCATTTACCAATTCTTGTTAGGTTATTACAACAGGAGGCATTCCCTGCAGAAGTATAATGAATCCCAAGAAGATAAAATCTGTGCCGGAAGAGACTAAAGTCCTAGCCAGTATAATATTATTTCTACAATGACTAATCTGATGCTTATGGCAAGCTCAGAAGAATGTGAATGAAATAGCATGCTTGTCTTATTCCTCAGCAACTGATGAATATACTGTTTGTAGAGATACAACAGAGAATTCAAGATTTATTTTTTAAGACCACCATTTAACCACAATTTGGGTGGTTTCTTAGACAAAAAGATTACCAGCTGAGAACAAAAAACTTGATTTGCATGACATTTACATTGTGTATATGCCTATTTTCCTATTTAAAAATAGTAACTAGTAATGGGGATATGCAGTAGTAACTCTTATCATAGAGAGAAAATTGTAACTTGTAACTTTTAGGCATACTGACAAGTTGATAGAAAACTTCAAGACTCTTGATACCTTTCTTACCTTTAAACTGGACCCTACCCATAAACACAGAAGAACTTTGCCTACTCATATCAAACTAATCTGAGCTACTTGCTACTCAGGGCAGTAAGTCATTCAAATTAAAGAAAATCTGCAAGATTTTGGTAGGCATTTCCACATGTACATAAAGACAAAAAAGAGATTCAGCTGAGCTTTTTCCAACATATGCACCTGGTCGACCTGCTTGATTTATAGAAAAGGAAATAGTAGTTTTGAATTTATAATACGGTTTAGCACTGTTGTGGTTATCTTTTTAAATAGAATTTCATTGTCAATAAAATTTGAAGTGTCAGTATGGAAAAATAAATACTATGTGATTGCTATATGAGAGCTGCACTTTAGCTGGGAGATTTGGGGCCAAATGTTCTTTCCCTGCCCTACAAAGAAAGGCAAGGGCAATACTTAACAGGCAGAACCAGGAGTCAAGACTGACAGGAAGGCCTGTGCTCATATGCACAAAAGAACTTTATAAAATTGAAATTACCTATACCTATGATGTATCTAAGAACAGCATATCAAGAGATTAGCTCTATCAGCAGTCTCCTGAACCTAGAATAATAGATTATTTTTTTAAAAAAAATAGAGGTTTAGGGGGATCTAGCTATGCCCTAGTGCCAGTGGAACTTGTAATGTTGTTACCTAATATCCTATGTTCTTAACAATTATTAATCAAGTTGTGAGGAAAATAGTAGGAGGAAGAAGTATTAGGTATGTTTGCCATCTTGAGTTATTTATAAAAACAAGAAAGGATAAAAAAATCTAATATAAATTTTCCACAACCCCCACTTGCTGAATTCTTTCTCAGGTTGTGTTGTATTCAATTTTCTTAACCTCTGTAGTTTGAAATATTAAAATATATTTTACATTGCTAGGAAATCTAGAGTTGCTATTCTCATTTAGGTCAAGCTGACACAGTATTTAATGTTATGTAACTTGGGATGGTGTATGAGAAGAGGTGAAGAGGTGAGCACAATATAATAAGAACCTAGGGATTAATTAGGAGGAAGATCGGAGATTTGCACACTTCCTGGACACATAGAGGCTTCCTTCTACTTTACAGGCTATGTCTGCTTTGAATAGGTTTTTGTATATCAAAGCTTAAGCTGTGATTAACATTTCTTTCAATGGATACTAAATGTTAGACCTTTTTATCAATGCATAACTTGAACAATGAAAATGAATTTTATATCTAAAACATCACAAAGCTGATTCTGGACACTTTGATTCAATTATTTGATTCCAATGTGCAAATTCTAAATGTAGCTCTATGGGTTCTGTTTCCCAGAAAATAGAAATTAGCTATTCAGAATTTAATTGTAGAGTACTAGGGTCCTGCAAATCCAGTAAAAGAGTTGTTGTACAACAGATTTGATGAATACAGGGTACCTATCCCTGGATCAATAAACTATAAGTAGTCCTCAACTTATTACCACAATGGAGCCCAAAATTTCTGTTGCTAAGTGAGATGGTTGTCAAGTGATTTTTACCCCATTATACAAACTCTCTTGCCACAGTTGCAAGTGAATCACTGCGGTTGTAAAGTTAGTAACATTGTTGTTAAATGAATCTGGCTTCCCCATTGACTTTGCTTGTCAGAAGTTTGCAAAGGGTAATCACATGACCCTGGGATACTGCAACCATCATAAGTATGAACCAGTATTGTCAAGCGCTCAAATTTTGATCATGTGACCATGGGGATGCTGCAAGGGCTGTACATGTGAAAAATGGACATAAACGGTGATGGGATTCAGCCAGTTCTCTCCGGATTGCGTGAACCGGTAGCGGTGAATGTGGGAGGCTCCACCCACCTGCCCGGAGGTAATGCGCGACTGCTGCACATGTGCAGAAGTCTGTGCATGCATGCTCACATTTGCGAACCGGTAGGGAAGGTAAGTGAATCCCACCTCTGGTCATAAGCCCTGTTTTTAGTACCATTATAACTTGAACGGTCACTAAACAAATGGTTGTAAGTTGAGGACTACCTGTGACTGCTTTTCTTCATCTTCACATGGCTGCTTCATAAGCTGGTCCTGGCTGTCTGCAGCCTGTGCATGCAAACAGAAGACAGTTGAGAGAAGATTACAAAGGACCATAAACAGATGGGCTTCTGTATGGATTCAGATAGGTTGGTTCATACTGCACTTATATATGATAGTTTCACTATTCTCAAGATGCAGTTGAAGACATTTTTTATGCTTCCATATGTTACATATCCCAATATATTTGTGAGCTTCCACCAAATAAAACAACAATCAAAAACCCTGCTGAACAATAAAGTTTCCTTTCTTCCATCAACTAGGCTTTTAAATTTCATAATTAAACTGGTGAGAAAAAGCCAGAAGGAAAAAAATGAAGTTCCTAACATTTATCAAGGCCATTTCAACCCTTTTTCAATAGGGTAGGGGAACAAAACAAAAAAAATTAGAAGGTTGCCGTGATGGACACATTTTCTTAAA